GATAAATTTCATATGTGCACGACATGATCATATACATTGTAGTGTAATGGATACATGCACGTTATAATGTCACTATCGATTGGTAAGAGTGCATGTTTCATGAATTCATTGTTACATGTTTTATTATGCCTCATTAAGTATATGACTTAGCGTGTAAGTGATATACATGTAGGTACCAAGAGTCGAGAAGAGCAGAAATAGGAGTGGCAAAGACAACGTCACTACTAGAAGATCATATCAGAAGTAACTAATACAGTATGTATTTTGTTGTATAAAGTGTGTTGGCATGTAAGAAATGTGTTAGTACGAACGCTCTGATCGACTTTTATAATGTTTTAAACGTATTTATGTAAATGATAAATGTATAGTGATGAACGTTTTAAATTTTATGAATTTTCTTTTAAGTGGGCGAAATTACTGTAGCAAGGGTATCTGTACACTGTAGCAGGGTATCGATACCTCTGTAGTATTCTGAAATTTTTAGCATCGGAACATTGTTCACGGGTACTATTCATAAAAATGTTTTTCTTCAAATTTGTTATAATGAAACATAATTCAACAGTATATTATTGTATTTCCTTAATATAAGTCTAAATATTTTGTTGTTTTATAAGAATATTGTTTAGAAAAAGTCAATGTGACATCTCGGACTCGTATCCGGGTCGGGTACGAGTTGGGGGTGTTACACAATGTCCCGTAGCTATGCTACTAGTATACAGACGTGAGTGTTGGATATGCACTATTGATTCAATACTTCCTAAACATGAAGCTTTTGAATCTTACTTGTCCCTTAAGTATGGAAAACAGTTTCAGTCTTTGCCTTAGCAACATTAACTTGATTCGGTTGAAGGTGACCGAATTCCGCAGCTCCGATGTTCTAACCGAAGTTTTCCGCAGATTTTTCTGGTTCAAAAGAGAAAAGATAACTGTCGATAACAGAAAACTTAAAGCTGCCGCTTGCATCTAGGGGGTGTATGGATATGACTTTCCGAAAACTCGACATACTTTATCAGATATATATTCATATTCCGATACTGAAAACCGAGTCTAAGTACCATAAGCTTGCATAATAGGTAATCCTTACCATAAACTAGTTTGAGTTCAGCTTGTTTGACAAAAAGTAAATTGAAGCATTGGCCTATAAATTAAGAACAATAACCATACCTCTGCTCCCCGTTTCTGCACCATGGAAACCAGCATCTGCCTTTGCATTTACAAATCTCCATTGCAAGTAACGGTTATAAAGAAGCCTCATCGTATGTGCATCGACATTCCGATCCTCCCCTATCTTTATCCGTTGAACACCGAAATTAATGGAACTAACGACCCGATCAGTCCTTATTCCTCCCCTAATAGGTGAAGACATTCTACTAGTACTAGAAATCCATTTTGATTGACTGAATTTAGTCGAATCTGGATCTGATAACCGCCTTAACGAGCTATCGGTTTTAAGCCGAACTTTCTCCTGCGCCGTGATATTATGAGATCCAATCATCCCTTTTGAATTCTTTTCGAAATCATTTGATGATACCCGAGAAGGCTCATTGACACAATCAGTATCAGAGGTTTTCTTGGGAGACACGGAAACCCTCCTCCTACTCTCATTAAGCATCATTGCTCGTTGAAATGACTTAGCCAGCATTGCATTATATTCAAACATCTTCTTTGCACCATCACAATCCAAACTTCTTGACAACGTATTCAAACCCGAATCCGCTTTCCGGGTTCTCTCCGGCCAGAGCTGCTGATCCGCAAGCTTCGAATTTCCCCATGATCACTCACTTGAATCTTGGTTTGAAGGGAAAAGGACACCTATTGGAACGAAACCGATAAACTTCTCGTTGAAGTAACCGAAATCTTTGTTGCAACCGATGATTCCAAAGCATTGACATTGTTTCCTTTGGACACTCGCCGTCGGTCCATAGATTGAGACCGTTTAGGAAGCGAACGAGGTGTCGTAGAAGGGGGTGTGGTATTAGTGGAACGAGAGATAAGAGGAAAAGGAAACCTTGAAGTCGTAGTTTTGGCGGCCATTGTTGTAGCTTGTGAAGAAGAAATGGAACCAAAGGGAGACAAATACCCAGAGCAAACAGCTTGTTTGCCTCTTATTTCTCTTGCAACAAACAGTGGAGCCATTGTCTTTTAGAACATGTCTTTTCGTTGTTCGGTTCTCTTCTTCATGTCTAGCTGTTTGTTGTCGTTGTCGTGTATCTTAAGGAGTTAATGCAGCCACCATCACATGAAGAATTTTCACTCTTTTTCCTATAATCCCATGGGAGAAACTTCAGTATTTGCAGTAAAGCATAGAGGTTTCTCGATATGAGTCCATTACCGGTAATTAAAATTAGGGTAAAGTATATAAATGATCCCCCGACTATAGGGTGATGCTTTGTTGAGTCCCCGACTATTAAAAATTACAAAATTAGTCACCTAACTATTTAGTATGTTTCAAACTCGTCATTTTCTATTAAAAATTTGGTTGGCAGTCTGAATTGAATACTAACCTAATAACTGAGATATGATAAAATTTGATCTCAAAATCTAAAAAAACTATCATATCTCAGTCGACAAGTTAATATTCAGCTCAGATTGTTGTCAAATTTTTAATAGAAAATGATAAGTTCGGAACAAAAAAAATAGTTGAGTGATCATTTTATAACTTTTAATAGTCGGATAACTCAAGAAAGCAATACCCTATAGTTAAATGACTATTTTGTAACTTTTAACAGTCGAAGGACTTAACAAGCATCACCCTATAATCGAAGGACTATTTGTGTACTATACCCTTAAAATTAACGCAATCAATTATTTTAGAGTAAACTAAACTGGTGGTTCCTGAACCTTTAGAAAGATTTCACTTAAGTCACCAAACTCTTAAAACTTTCCTTGAGGTCACTAAACTTTAATATCGCTTTCATGATGGTCACTTCCGTTTGTGGCAACTGATATGGCATAAAATGGCATCACGTGTCATCCTTTTATGGTGGAAAATTGAGGAAAATATATAGACCTTAGCGAGGTTTGAACATAACCACTTGGGACCAGTAGAGTTTGTTAAAGTGTTAAGCAATTTGATATCGTTTAATTAAAGTCTCGAATTTGAATTCTTGTATATGAAAAAAATTCTTACTAGAAGACTCGCCCATCAAAGTCAGATGTGCAACGTAAGTCGATCCGAATTAATCAATACGAAGTTTTAAAACCGGGAGGGTAAAAGAAAAAAACATAACCACTTGGGCCAATCTAATTAAATCACTAGTGATCTCTAATCGAGAACATATGTACCAAACCGAAAATATAAATGATTTGTATAACATAGGATTTAACCATGGTTTTTGGGTTTGATTTCTTGCTGTGAACCTTTAATCATACGTTAGTCTAATTAATTATCAATTTTTATTTGAGTTTTATTTGAAAATTATAGTGTAATTTTTTTGGAAAATGATTTAGAAACTGAGTTTAGCTAAACCTCCATGAAAAGAGCCTCCAAGCAGCAAGTAGACAGGAGCAGGTTGGTGGTAATAATTTTTATTTTTTTTTTGGAAATAAGAAGGCAACAAACTTTAAATTCATAATACTCCCAGGGGGCATTTAGTTCACGAAAAAATCATTACCAAGGGATATAATCTTTTTCGGAATTGCATTCTCGCGTTTGGTTCACGAAAAATATTATTATCATGGAATACTCTCTTCCCAATAGTAGTATTTTTGGTTAAAACGGTAGGAATATTGTTACCTCCAAATTCTTAAATATTACACAATTCCTATCACTTTAGACAATAATCTCGAGCTGAAACGAAACAAAAACATGCTTCTAGCTCTTAACAACAGTATACTACCCTATACAAATCTCAATCTAATAATCTCCCAATCTGTACGCAACCTATCATTGACCAATCCCTGCTTAATAGGTATCCCCATGAACCTCAACCGAACTTCTACTTTTATATTTTTAATGATCTCATCCACATTCATTAGAGTTTCATCAAATACCCTTCTATTTTGCTCCTTCTAAATATGGCAAACATATGCGCTCCATGCAACCGTCAACAAGGTGGATATAAAAGCCTTACCCTTTAGCTTCTCCACTGTCCAAGAGACCTCCTGCTCCCAAGTCCCAATTGTTCGTCGTAGCTGGCATAGCTCTAAAATGCCCCTCCACACTTCCCTCGAGTACTTGCACCCAATGAACATCTGATCTCTAGATTCCAGACCTTCAGGGTAAAAACAACAATCTCCCTGAACTACCATACCCCAAATTAACAGCCTATCCCTCATGGGTCGTCTATCCAACAAAGCAAACCAAGCGATGGCAACATTCTTAGGAATATAAGTGGAAACCAAATAAGCTTCGTCCAATTCACTCCAGCCTGCTTCCTCCAAAGCACCTGCCAGACCTCCTTAACCTTATACTTCCCCTGCGACGCCCAACAGCCTATAATACCATCCACAAACGGAGTAGCCGAACCTCAGGGGTTCAACAATTTCCTCTAAAACCAGCTACAGGTTCTCGGAACAAGCACCTCCATAAAAGGCCTTCCCTTCAAGACATATGTATCACATCACACCAAAGCACCCAAAGAGAATCAGCCTTGACTACTGAAGTCTATATGTACTGAATGATGCAGGCCTTAAAAAACACTACCCCAGCCCCAAGTCACCCTTCTTCGGCTTACAAATCATCTCCCAACTGACCCGAGCTCCCCGAGTCTATTGATCATTAAATTATCTGTTTAGATATTCAATTATTATTGTATTTCTGTTTTTCATTTCTAAACTATTTTTTTAATATTTAATCATGTTTTTATTCTAATTTAATCATTAATCATTAAAAGTTTAACAAAGATAAATAATAATTTGTCTCTATAATTTATATATATTATTAATTTCATCCTAATTTGAAATATTTTATCAAAGTTGAAAACCCCCCAATACTATAAGAGTTGATGATCGAAGTTGGAACACTCATTGGCTGAGACTATTCGTACACCCGGGCCAAAAACCGAGAAACATATCAAGTAATATTGGATGTAATACCAAAAACCTAACATGATCGTCACATTGCAAAGACGAATTAGCAGCAAACTAAAATGCAAGTAATTTCATTGAAAAACAGTGAAATATTCTTTGTTCAACAACCACTTTAAGGTTCATGCTAAATCAAAAAACACGAGATACCTTCCAATTAAAAAAGAAAAAGCATACTATCAACGGTTCATACTTGAACAAAGTCCTTCCAACTTCACAACATATAAATTCTTCAGCGGTACTGCAAGATGAAAACAAGAAACAACAGAAAGGTTAAATAATTATCGGAATGAAAGATTCGTAAGGATTAAGATAACAAAAACCATAAGAAACATTGTTCTCAAGGCATTGCAGCTTAACGTCAGACACCAAAATCACCTTGAACTCTTTCGGACAGGATGCACTTGATTAGGCACACCTCGTGCCCCTGGGCACCCTTTTTCTAAGATGACAGATGGAATAACCTATTGAAATTCTCTTTAATGTCTTTCACATTTTACTTCTTTTGTTTGCTTTTCTAAAAGTACGTTTACTAGTAAGAATGGGGATAATATCAAGCTCTCTACTTTTAAAATGTTCAAGTATCCAACGATAAACATAGGACCGTACAGAAATTGTGCATCCTAGCTAACAACATAAACAATTTGCATGTTTTGTAGAAAACTTGTACCACGTTTAGAGTTCATTAACATGGTCATAAATATATATATTTATACACACACACACACACATAAAAGAACAAGAGCAAATGGCGCCTAATTTCACACATGCTAGCACTTCTTTTGCACCTCGCACTAGTACAGGAAAAATAAGAGCTCTAACACCTTGAATGCATTATGCATCTTCCCTTAACAACACTGATCAGAAGATTAATTAGCAAATGTATTAGTTTTACCTTGATGAATCCGATTTCCTTAGCATTGCTACGGAAGCACTGTCTGCAACACATGAGCCCATACTTCCTAATAATGGCGTGGGGGTTGCCACACACACGGCTATACCAAAAACAAACAAAATAATTATTGTAAGTCATCGTAAACCAAAAAATTCAAGAAAAAACAAATTTTACAAAGAATTATAGCAGAATACTTCTAAATGCTACACTAAAACAATTCAAAACAATCTCAATTCAAGCAAAATCAATGTCGTTAAAACAGTAAGATTCAAAGAGTAGCGTTCTAATTCGTCTGGTACAAGCATTCAAAAAGTCAATAAACTAAACTTTAATTGCATTCGTTCACCAAATTTATATGCTAAAATGAATCAAAGAGAAAAAGTAATTATCAGGTGCGAGATCCAGGGCCGTAGGTTTTGGGGTGAGAGTTCCAGACGTTAGAGTGACCCATGGTCGATTAGTTGCTCGTCGATCAAAGCTCTGAAAGGCAAATGGAGGCTCGACAGCTGATGGAAAACCCTAGAATAGGCGGTGGTGTTCTGTTTACTAGGAAAATTAGAGTATTTATATGGCAGAGTCCATGGTTGTTGAATTGTAACGATTATGAGTCTAATTCTGGTTTTAATACCTAATATTTTTAGAGTTTTGAAATTTAGTACCTCAACTTGTTTGATTTAAAAGTTAAAGCCTAATTGATAACATTGTTAATTGATTTAGGTTAATTATTTTTAATAGTTTGAGGTGATTACAAGATAATATCTATTTATAAATTTTTTAGCCATTGATAATGCACACACCTTGCAGACATAGATGGACACATGATTTTATGTTAGAGACGGGCTTATAAAATTTTAAGGGGAGGTGAACTTAAAAAATTTCCAAGGGAACAATACTCCATTTAATTATTGAAGTTATTTAGATTAAATTTAAATATATGAGAATAAGGTACATTTCATGATTATTTTCTTATCTCTTAATTAGAGATGATATACGAGTACAATTTCATGAATTTTGCATCGCACCTTCTCTAATTGGGGCGAGCATGGGTATAAATTTAGTGGATAATAAATGGATGTGAATGTAAAAAGTCATACATGTCGTGAGTAGTGGATAGGTGATGGATTTAAACCTTACTCGCCCCGTATCCTCCCGCCCCACATTCGTCTCCCACTAACTACCTATCATAAAAAATTTAAATCATTACGAATTTAGGTATAATTTTAGGGACTGTTATGTAAATATTAAGATTTTATAGTATATAACTTATAATTTAACCAAATATTAATATATATATATATATAATTGAAGACCGCGGTTATGTTTTAAGATTTTATGTATTAAGAATTTGGTTTATTTTAAAATCTATATTGATCTTTTAACTCAATTAATTCTTGATGTATTTTAATATGTTCTTTAATAGATATGTTTGTTTTATGTTTTATTGCTTATGTAATATGTGAGGTTATTGTCGTACGGGTACAAGTGGGTACAGATGGATATTGAATGGGTGGTGGGTATCTAATTGGATAGTGAGTATGAGATGGATTTGAGAATGTGCCCGTACGAGTGGTGAGAATCTAAAAATTTTAAATGTCGTTAGTAATGAATAGGTAGTGGATACGAAAATATTAGGTGAATATACGATGAAGGAAGATTTATCTGCACCTACTCCACCCGTTTGACATCCCTACTCTTAATAAAACCTATGACGAGAGGATTAATTATTATTATCGACAATAAATATCTTAATTTTAATTATTTAATTTACTGATAAATTAATCTTGATTAAATATTATAAAAAGTTACTCATGAAAATGACGGTATGAAATTAATTTATTTTATTTATAATATTAGAATTTAAGCATTTAATTTTATTTGAAATATTTAATATATATATTAACAACTAATTAGTCTAGTGAGATAGGACACTAGATTCTTTAAGCAAAATGTATTGAAAGAGTCGTCATTATCTCTATAATATATGATCTAGATTAATCAAATAAAAAATTAAATACCAGTGATTAATTTTAAAAAATATTTAATATCTCGTCTTATTAAGGTAATGAATTGTTATTTCAAATATATTGTTTCTATAGTAAAGAATCAAAACATATGTCTGAAAACCCAAAAGCCCAAAAACGAGATTAAAAGGGGGAAAAAAGCAAAGAGGCACAAACAAACAGCCCCTAACAAGTTGCACCCCTGCAAATGTGAACAAACGCACTAGTTTCTGTCAGAAGAATATTTTCAGCCTTCATAGTTAAAGCCCTGTTTGGCATTTCCTTGTTCGCGCTGATAGCGTAGTAATAAACAAAGCACACAAAGAACCGATCACCGAACACTTCTTAGAGAGAAAAACAGAAAGGAAAACTCAGAGTCCATAGCCAAACAGAACAACGTGCATCGATCCAGCTTGGTACGTCAATTGTCAATTCGTCCTTTTAGGTTTTCTGATTCATATCGAAATCTCAATTGGGTATCGATTAGTTTTCATTATAATTGCTTAAATCCTTCGAATTTTGTTTGTTTGCTTTCGCTGATAAATTTCCTCGGTAATTCTTTGATTTTCCCCAAATTTTGCCCGTTTCGTTGCTATCTTTTATTGGTTGTATTGGTGTTTAGTTCGTAACTCTAAGCATTAATCGATTAATAGAATTCTTTGTTTTGCCCTTTTGAGCTGAATTTTTCCCAAATGTGATCTATGTTGATGGATTATGGCAATTTGCAGGTGGAAATAGGGTTTTTGAGATTGGGGTTTTCGGTTTTCTATTGAGGATGCTGTGATTTGCCATCTGGGTTTTGACTTTTGATTGAAAGTTAAAGATTCTGATGCAATTAGTAATTTTTTTGTTCTTTTGATGATTTTTGAGAAGTTTGGGGAAATTGGAGTCGAAGAAAATGGTCAACCAAAATCATGCTCGGATTGATACCTTAGAGCTAAGATCTCTTATTGTAAGAAAACTTGGGCATCAAAGAGCTGAAAAGTACTTTGATCAGCTAAGAAAGTTGTTTAGTTTGAAAATCGACAAGTCCGAATTTGATAAATCTTGCGTTAAGGTCATTGGGAGGGAAAATATACCGCTTCACAACCGGCTTATTCGATCCATTATCAAGAATGCTTGCGTCTCTAAAGTTCCACCTTCGAAAATGATTCGGAAAGTAGGAAGTAACCTTCAAGTCGGAAATGGTTATCAACGGAATTGTGTTCAGTCTCTTTATGGGGATGCATTTCCACCTTCCCCTCACAAAGGTCGGTCCCCTGTCAACCGGGATCGAAAGTTTCGAGACCGCCCTAGTCCGCTAGGGCCACTTGGGAAGACACAGAGTGTTGTATGCGAGGAGTCTGTTTCCAAGGCACAAGAGCAGAGTGCAACTGAATTGCTTTCGCTCGGGAGCAGACCTCCTCTTGATGTTGCATCCGTGGAAGATGGAGAAGAGGTCGAGCAGGTAGCTGGAAGCCCTGGTGTTCAGAGTAGAAGTCCCGTTACGGCTCCTCTTGGTATCTCCATAAATTTCAATGGAGCTCGTAAAGCTCTTCCAAATGTGTTCTCGTATAATAATTATCACCTCGAGACATGTCAAACCAAAGGTGAGCTACCAGATACGAGATCATTAAGAAGTCGTTTGCAGAAGAAGTTGGAGTCGGAGGGAATCAGCATTTCGGTGGATTGTGTTAACCTACTGAATAATGGCTTGGATGCATACATGAAAAGATTGCTTGAGGCCCCTGTAAAACTGGCAGCCGGGTTAAGGCCTCGAAGGTTACCTACAAGTTACTTGCAACAATCAGAAAGATCTTTTTATGTATCGATGCCCGGCTTTCGTACCGCAATGGAACTAAATCCGCAGGTGCTCGGAGAAGATTGGCCTATGCAACTTGAGAAAATTAGTCTTAGCTCTATGGAATATTGAGGAGAACCTGGTTAAACATAAACCAGCAATATAGCAGCGTAGGTAATTATCATTTGTGACTTTCATGTTTAGAATGAAATATATATATATGTGATTCATTTTCTTTTTTACAATCTAATTCTCTTAGCTCTGCCATTGCCAAGGTTACGCTTTTCTTTTCTACTCATTGAAGTAGGAGGTTTTGGACATTGTAGGTCTTGCGTTTGAATCTCATCGAGTGTAGGTTTAATCCGAATTTAGTTCGTTACATCATACATACACTTGTTCGTGTATTTCTTCTCTTATTCGAGTTTATGTTTTGAATTTACATATTGAATACAAATATTTTATGAAAAATAATACATCATGTACAAGCGATGGGATTGTTGAAAATATTAAAAAGAAACAAGTTGAAAATGGGAATAATTATTTATTCATTTCCAAAAGAAAAACACTGGTATTGTTCTGAAATTTAAAGCAGCAAGTAGAATAAAAGTCCGTCCCCTCTTCCCGGCTTTATCTTTAAACCAACGCATTGTCTGCAGTCATAGCCTTCAATTCTCATGCCATTCTGCAACCAAAATAATGTGGTCAGTACTGAAACTCGCGATAAATACTTACCAAGGATAGAGAAAGCAAGTTGTTATTTTGATGTCTACCTTGAACGGGAACATTGTTTCTCCACCTTCTTCTACATCGGATAAATACAACATGAATGATGCAACCTGTGAGAAAAGGTTCAACGCTAATTAAGCACAATCTTTTAATGCTTCAGCATCTACACTCATAGAACGGGTTGGTGAAAATTACAGAAAACTTGGGGGAAACAATACAACTTACAAGACGGATCCCGAAATAATAGGCTATAAATGAGGTGAAGCTAGCTCGAAAAGATGAATTCATACTTGCTGTCAATTCCAGTAACATGATGTAATTCAAATATGTAGATCTATTTCCGATTCATTTACCAAGAACAAATAAGTACTGGTACACCATTTTTAACCAATCGTTTAGTAACAAAAGGTTTTATCATTTATCTAAAGATAAGTTTCAGTCATCATGATAACAACATAGAACTCGGAACTTGTATATCAAAAAAAATATATAACTAAATTCTATATCCAACTATTCCATTTACACTATCCCATTAAATGCAGACTGAAAACTAATCATTTCAATTCACCAGAAATGCACCTAAAAATTCCAGAAACTGCAATCAAACAAGCATGCAACAATGAAGCTCTTTTGTATGACTGTACCCTTTGGCTTGACTGTGGACCGTACTCAGATGGATTGAATGCATCATAATGAGAATCATACTTCTGTCCAATCTCATACCGCAAAATATTAAATGCCTGCAATACGTATGGATTTCAACTTAGAGCAATTCAAAAAATAACATAAAGAATGATTTCGAATTTTCAGAGACCAAGTGATACCGCGAGACTATTTGTGGCATATCGGTTTATAGCGATACCAATCACAATTTTTTCAAAAAACAGAACTTCAAGGAAAATCTAATCCGATAAAATAATGTACCTCTCCATGACTCTGTGGAATGCTTGTAGCCTTTGCAATTTTTTTCTCGATTAAGTCCAAGGTTCTGGTTTTATCTCCGGATGCACTAATAAAGGTTCCTGAACTGTTTCCAAGGAAAGTATAAATTGACTACACAAGTTTATCGCAACATTAGAGAGTGGATTATCAGCATTCACCAATTCAAAATATTCACTGGCACAAGGGATAAAATATTATCCAGCCTCGATGCTATTTGATACAGATAATAACATAATCGACTTTAATTTTCCATGGAACACAAAATTGATAAGAAATCAATGGCAAAACATAATTGTTGTCATAAAACGGTCATCACCTTGTTCTGGTTCCTTTAGTGCTTTCTTCAGTTTCGCCCTTGAGTAAAGCCAAAGTAGATGGCTTAAGGTTTACCTTTGCCATTTCGATTATATGTTTGCATTGTTCTGCAGTTGCAAAGTTGGGAAAATAGTAAGCTCGTGGTTTCCAGCTTAAAACCTGCACTTTAAAGAGAAGCAAGCAAAGTTAGTTAGCCTACAAAAAAGATACTTCACAATCGATTTCTTAACATCTTTTCCAGTGTGGTTTAAGATGTTTCAAGTTAGCACAACCTCAAACATAGAACTATGTCGATCGTTCGAACATAAAGTCTTTGTTCTTGTCCCTTACTGCTTTCCTTCTAGATTTTAAAACTCCTGTTTAATTTTGAGATGAATAAGCTTTCATAAAGTGTTAAACCCGGAACTATTTTACCCGTACTCAGGGACAAGTGTTGGATACAAACAAATATCCAACATGTCTATGCTCAATTTTTTCCTAAGTTTGTTCAATCTATTTGGAGGATCATTAGTATGCATGGATACTTTAGATAAAATGAAGAGTTCGGGTAACATATCTCGGGAATACAAACCAACAGACTAACTTGAATATTGCTACTCATAGATCCTAAACCATTTGATTGCATATGTATCCTCTAATTTTTCTGGGTTTTGACCACAAATTGCAAAGAACCATGATTTTCGATTTTTAGATCATGGCTCTTATCCCACCTAAATTTCAGAACACTTCTATTACAAATTCAAGCGCTACTATCAAGTATAAAAAAGTATAGCCAAATGCAAGAATCAAATCCATCATATAATCATCATCCAAAACCAAATGAAATAAACAATACAAAAAAAATACTAGAGACAAAATATGAAAAGGACCTGAAAAGGGATAGATTCAATCGAACTTTCCCCAGTTTCTCCATTTGGCATCAGATCACCATACTTTCACCTTCAACATGGACCAACCCGGGTTTAATAACCTTTAGTCGTTGGCTCGAAAATGTCATTGACGTTTTAATTTTGTCATTTAAGCACTGACGTTTATGTTTTACTCCAATTAAGCCACTCCGTCGTTAATTCGTTAACGAGATGTTGACATGGCATGGACGGGCCGTGAAGGTGATGATGTGGATGCCTTACCAAAACGACGTCGTTTCAACAAAACTATTTTGATGCTCAATAAAGACAAAATGACGTCGTTTTGCTTGAAAAAATTATTAAAATAATATGTAACTAAAGAGATTTGAACCCCAAACCCCTTAAAATTAAACTTAATACTTAACCATTAAACTACTTTATATTTTTTTGTTATGTTTTCTATTAAAGTTTTAAAATTTTATAACTCTAGTTAAAGGTGCTTGAACCCAAATAAAATTGTTGCTTAACCCCTGTCATCGATATCTAGTACCCTTTATCTCCATCTACATTCTCTTATTTTCATCACCATATTCTCGAAGTTGTTGCTTTTAGTAAATTCAAGAACGCACCCAGCAGATGTACAAGTTCTCAAAGATCTGAAAAATGGTGTGGACCCTCCTTCCATTGCTCCGGATCTTGTTTGAACTCCTGGGATTTCTCCATTGACCCATGCGACAACATCTTCACTTGCGGCCTCACGTGCGATACACTCGTCTCTGGTTTGCTTCAAGTTTCTGACTCATTCTCCAATTTAACTCGCCTGGGTCAACTAGGTCTCTCCTGGAACTCAGTCACCGGTGAAATTCCCGCCGTTCTTGGCTCACTCCCTCACCTTCAAGAACTCTACCTTGACAACAACCATCTCTATGGACCAATTCCTTCAAGCTTTAACAACCTAAAACGCTTGAAACGACTCGAAATCCAATGGAACTACATTTCCTGTGAGTTTCCTGATCTGGGTTCACTCAGAAAGTTTTACTTTCTCGACGCTAGCGATAACAACGTATCCGGCCAAGTCCCATCAACGTTGTCAGTATCTCTCTTCGAGCTCTCGTTGAAGAACAATATCCCAGACAACATCGGCAAGATTAGGTTCTTACAAGTTCTAGATCTCAGTCACAGCATGTTATACGATGCAATATCACCAATTTTTTTCAAGCATCGTAACTGGAATTTTAGATTTTTAAAACTTTTATAGAAAAAATAACAAAGAAATATAAGGTAGCTTAATGGTTAAGTATTATGTTATCCAGGGGTTCAAATCCCTTTAGTTGCATATTATTTTAATAATTTTTCAAGCAAAACGACGTCATTTTGTCTTTATTGAGCATCAAAATAGTTGTTTTGAAACGACGTCGTTTTGGTAAGACATCCACGTCATCATTGTCATGGCCCGTCCATACCATGTCAGCGTCCTGTTAAGGGATTAACAGCGGGGTGGCAAAATTGAAACGTCAGTGACATTTTCGAGCCAGCGCCTAAATGTTAGTGATATTTGGAGTAGTTTACCCTAAGGGTGCGTTTGGTTCACGGAATGTAAGATTACCAGTGGTAATAAAAGATTACCAGAGAATATGATTACTGGGAATGTTGTATTTTGTGTTTGGTTGGTTTAGCAGGAATGTAAGATTACCGTGTTTGGTTAAATGAAAAAAAGATTATTGGAATGTATATTTGACCAAATTGTCCTTATTATATATTTGTATAATATTACAAATTGTAAAATATTTATATATTTTCTTTAAAAAATTAAATTCATAATATTTATATAATTTTTTTTACAAAATTAAAAATATAGAAAAGGTTTATTGAAAGGGTAAAAAAATTTAACCATTGAACTTCATATAAAATTTTAATTATAGATTTTTTTTTGTAAATCTAAAATAATTTAAGGATAAATTTGTAATTTAACTTTCGTAGAATTTTTATTATTCAATGACAGAAGAATGATATTTTTGAAAAAAATAAAAATTTAAGGGCATTTTAGTCCAAAACGCCGGAAAAGTTACAATACCTAAGAGAAGGGAGGTAATGACATTCTCAGTAATATACCCCAAAAAATATACTATTGAAAATAAAACATTACCGGGAATGAGATTCCCGAACAACCAAACATGGGAATGTGGAATTACCAACCCATGGGAATCCCACAATCCTTGAACCAAACACCCCCTAATATATATTAGGATGAATTACCTTGTTTAGAATCTAAATTATCAGGTTTGTTCCCTTCTAGTATATACTTTTTTTAAGTTTTCAAATTTATATATAATATTTAATTTTTATTTCATTTTAATATCTCACCCAAGATTTTTAAAATCATTTATTTCTCTGAGGACTGGCTTACTTTAGCTTTGGCGCATTTCATGTAACAACATTGTATGGCCCTGGAATATGGGTGTCCGACCCTTATGGATTAACTGACATGTACAACATGTAAATCCAACGTGGGGCGTGGAAGGTTTTAATCCTTTTGTTCTGGGAGAAATAACCTCTCATCATATTGCAGTGGGGACATTAGGCATATTAGCGGGCTTATTCCATCTTAGTGTTTGGTCATCCCAACCTTTATATAAAGGTTTTTAATAGCATTGTATTTTTCTATGGGTAAATTACATCGTTCATCATTTAACTATCTTCTCACTCCTATTTTGGTATTAAAAATTAAAAAAAAAAATCAATTTAACTACTCAACTATCTTCTCACTCAACATTTATATAAAAGGTTTTTAGCAGTCATTTGATTTTTGCACTTTACTTTTTGTTTTATTTTATTTTGCTTCTTTATTTAACGAATTTTAATTTCAGCCTTGTATTTTTAATTCATTTCAATTTAGTCCCTCTATACTTGTTAATTGCTTTTAATTTTGTTCATTTTTTAATTCTCTTCAACTTGATCATAGAAATTTGATTTTAAATTGAATCATTATATTTAGATTTCGAATATTTTAGTCCTAATTTAGATTACTTTATCTTTTAGATTGAGTCCTTAAATTTATATTTCTTTTAATTTAGTCTATTGTTTACTAAGTATGTTTAGTCTTAGTTAATTAAGCTCTGGCTTGCCATGATTTCACATTTTCATTCTAGATCATTATAATTTATATATGCATATATATATAATCTTAAGTGTTTTTTAACCTCTCTTTTAATTTTTGTATTTTTAAACATGATATAACAAATATTTTCCTCTAATTATCGTATATTAAGGGTGTTATGGTAAATTTCTTTGAAATATTTATGAATATGTATTTTCTTAGCCAAATTTAAATATTAGTAACTTTTAATATGTTCATAAATTGTATGCCTGGTTGTATTCGCTTGTACATGTAACTCTAATTATGTGGCATTCCTTAATTAATATGTATAACCCTCGCAATCATAACTCGATTCGATTCAAATAACTGAATTAAGGGTAATGCCCTTTCATTTTAGGGTTGTTGTGAAGTGATCAATAATTTTAAAATGAAAGCATATCCCATCAAGTGAAACCTAAAAAAATGATCACACCTAAAATTTGAGGACGAGAGAAAAAGAAATGTTAGTCTATTCGTCGAGAAAAGATCGTTAGAACTTAAAAAATGTCCGATATCGATGTCTTTAAATAATCGAACATCTTTTTTTCTTTCTAAAATGATTGGTAATTTTAATTTAATTTGTTTTTATTTTTATCATTATTCATGCATTTGAAATTTGAATTATTAATTAATTTTTGAATGAAATAGTAATATTTTTTTATTTCGATTGGATTAAGAAATGGTTGTTTTAAGGCACGAGAGACATTTTCTTCTTAATAGGAAATAATTAAATATTGCTATTTTCGATTGGATTAAGAAATGTGTTTAAAAGGGATTTCTAATTAAATTAAATTCGAATATGTAAGTTTCATTACAAAGACAACTAATTAATCGACTAAGTACTGATTTAGGGCGCTATGGGGGTGTTTATCCTTACCACGCCTAATCGACTCTCGAACTTAATTTTTGGTACACATACCTTCAAATGTTGTTTTAATAATTTTTAAATTAAATTTTATTAAAATGAAAACCTTCTTTGGGTGTCCAATCACACCCTGATCAAATATTGGTGACGACTCCTCAAACAATTTTTTTAAAGGAAACACCAAATTAATCGAGGTGAGACTTTTAAATCACACATAATTATTTTTTAAGAAATCGTTTAGACATTAATCAAATAAAATTTTTGTTCCTCTCAATTTTTTGATTTGAATATTTAATAGATTCTTGTCTTTTTCAATATATAGGGTTAGAGATGGTCAAAATACCTAAATTTGACGAGTCTTGATCCGACTCAATCCTTTAGGAACAAGTTTTTTTTCTTGAAATTTCAAAGTTCGGGACGAGACAAGTTATATAGTATATAAATTTGGGACGGGGAGAAGCCGGGTTTAATGTGAAAAAAAGACCCTAACCAATCCGATAATTTACGCTTTTATATATATATATAATATTTGATATCTTAGGGATTTTTATTTTGTTAAAATATATTCTCTAATTGTTAAAAATATAAAAGTTATAATAAAAATATATTATTTTAATTATTTAAAAATATTAATATATTTGAATCGGATCGGGTCGACGGTTTAATCTAAAAATCGGGATGAGGGTGGGAGAAAAGTTAAAATTCATTGGGGGCCAAGATGGGGTTAGTAGTAAGGTATATATTTTTGGGTTGGGACGGCCCAAAAAGGGACCCGACCTGCCCCGTTCCCTTTCCTACTAATTTAGAATTTTTAAAAGTTTAGAATTTTTAAAGATATGCCCGTTCTAACATTTCTTTGATCCTTTACAACCAATGAAAGTATTCTAAATTTAGTGACAGAACCAAACTTCACGTACTAAATTGAAAATAAAAAATATATCTATTATACTAATGAATTAAGTATAATTTATGTATTAAATTACTATTTAAGGTAAATTTTATTCAATACAACCAAACTTTAGGCGTTGTATCGTTTATACCACTGAACTTTAATTTTGTCAATTATAGCATTAAACTTTGATTTTAGTTTCAATTATACCACTGAACCGTTAAATCATTAACGGCACGACGATGTGGCTGACGGCTGTCGACGTGGCTAATGACTGTCGACGTAGACACCTCACCAAAACAACGTCATTTTGATTCGGTTGTTAACGATTTAACGGCACAATGGTATAATTGAAACGAAAATCAAAGTTGAGTGCTATAATTGATAAAATTAAAAGTTTAGTGGTATAAACGACACGACGCTTAAAGTCGGTGGTATCTGATATAGTTTACCCTACTATTTAACATTTAGATATAATGGGCCAAAATGAATTAAGTCCGACCTTGAAGAACCTTTCTGTTTGGTTTTTTATATATTTAGAATTTATAAAAATATCAAACGCTACCGAATGCGTGTTGTTAAATACATACTATTTGCATACCAATATGTCAAATCAATTTTCCCAAATGTTTATATAGAATAAACAAAGAACGACTTATCGATTATAAATAGATTTATTGAAAGGAAATATTGAAAATTTTAATTGATATAATAAATAAAATGAACTCAATTAGAATAATTATATTTGAAATAAATTTTTATATTATTCATCATCGATTAAACCCCTCCCATAATTTTTAAAATTTTTCATTAAACCTCTCAAAATTTCAAAAACTTTAGTTGGATCCCAATTTTTCAAAAAAAATGTAAATTGAACCCTTCAAAATTTTTAAAAAAAAATTTATTTAAACTTCTAAATTTTTAAAATTTTAAATTGACCCCTTCAAACTCTATCACCAAGTTTCGTCATTGTCGATAACTATAACTAAAACAGCTCAATATTCTAATATCCTTAATCGAACAAAACATACATACAAAGCATCAATGTTATTAACCCACCCTTTTACATGGTTACTATTTCTGGTACGGAGAAAACAATCGATGGTGGTACTTCACTTGCACTTGTATTTCAAGCATAAGCTTCTATGACCATTCATTCTAATTTCCACAACAATATTCCTTCTATATACATATGCCATTCGTCTCAATTTCAACAACATTATTCCTTCTATAAACATCATATTTTAAGTTTTTTAATTACCGAATTCGAATTCGAATTCACTTCACATATATTATGTATTATATTTAAATTTATGTATCCGAATTCAAAATTCATTCTGATTTTAGGTCTTATTATGCGTAGACATACGCGTACGTTAGTTCCCTTAAAGATTAGAAGTTTGAATTCGATGTTGTGAATCGATAATTTTTTTTTTATAAAATTTGATTGAGAATGTCGTTCATATTATTAAATTATAGGGTAAACACGTTTAGTATCTAAACTACAGTTTTGATATATTTTAATACCTAAACTTTTAATTTTTTCAAAACCATACCTAAAGTTCAGTTTTTGTTTTATTTTAGTACCCGCCATTAAGTTTTTGGGGAAAAAAATGAAAGTATAGGTACCAAAACATGTTTAGTACTTAAATCATACTTAAGTTTTGAAAATTTAAGTATTAAAAATGATCAAAACTGATAGTTTAGGTACTAAACGCGTAAAGTTTTTAACAATGGGGTATTATATAATCCATATTAGGTATGATTTTGAAACACAAAAAGTAAATTTTAGGTATGATTTTGAAAAAAATTAAAAGTTTAGGTACTAAAACGGACAAAAATTGAATGTTTAGGTACTAAATGCATAATTTACCCTAAAGTCTATAAAACATAATTCAAATTAATAAACCAACAAATCAGATATCGTAGTTATAAAAAAATAAATTTTTAATCTTTATTTATTGATGTCATTTTTCAAATATTTACAATCCGTTTCCAAATAAGTACGGAACAGCACTTGGAAGCATTATATAAGGCGAAGAAGCTCCTTACGTTACACCGTCATTACATTCTCCTTTCCCATTTTTCTCTCTTATTTGCATGGGAAGATTTGCCATAGCCATAGCCAAAGCCAAGACTTCAATGCTCAGGTAACGATAATTATACTTTAATTTTATCTAATTTTTTTTTTGTTTAGATATTCTATAGCGTTCGATTTTGTCACAGGGAAGCTAAGCGATCCTTTGAGCGTCCGTTGAGCAAAATCGCCAGTGCTGATCGGGAGAATATCGAGAAGTGTCGGAAGTCTTCGTCGAAGGGTAATGACATAAAAGTTTCATGGTCCTGGGTTCCGCATCCAAGGAGCGGAATATATTTTCCCGAAGGCCACGAATGGGTGATGAAAGACGTTCCGGAGGGAGCGGCGTCGTTGGACCAGACGTATTGGCTTAGGAATGTCGACGGTGTCGATAAACCAGAGCCATCTGATCGTGAATATTTTCCTAGTGACCAGCACTATTCCCATGCAAATATTTGAGAGGGAAAAAGAAAAGTTTAACTAGTTAATTATTATTATTTAATGGAGTAAACATTTATAGACTTAAACAAAGTGTTGGGATCTTTAGGGGATTTTAAATAAATGTTTTGGCCTTGGCTGAAATTATAGATAATATGTACCATATATATAATGTTAAAAATAAACATAAATTAAATTACTTATTTACTAATCGAGTAGTCATTCATAAAAATATATTAATATTTTTAAATTTAAAAGAATTAATATTATCAAATATTGATTGAACCATTACCAAAAAAGCAAGTAAAAAATGAAGCATCAGCTCATGTCATCTTTGAATAATTGGAACGCAGCACATGCCTAACACTGTATCCTTGTCTGAATCCAGCCTCGGCCGATTTGCAGTTCTGTAGACAGATGGAATCTCTCGTGTTGGAGCAACTCTAGATAACCTCCTCATCACCACCACGGTTATCCTCGGGACTGCTTGTCGAGGATAAAAGTTCGATTAGCTCCATCCTATACTCGAGGCCTCTAAGGTAGTGTCCCAATAGCATACACCTTCAGAGAAGAAATGAGAACATCAGAAGACACATTTTCCATTTTAATGTTTTGGCCGAGTGACTGAAGCTAATTCACAGTTTAAACATGCAGAACAGCTCTCGGATCTATGATCGATTTTAATAACGGTGGGAGGTTAATTTCGTATTGATTGTGTTGGGGAGGCCAGGGAAGACGGATTGGATCAAGAGGGAATGCCAATGCCCTTTCTTTATTGAATAGGATTCCCATCATTTAGAGTATCCGGCAAAGGAGATGCGGACTCGAACATGTTGATTAAATACAATTCTAATTAATATGTAATGAGCAATAAATGCATATTTTATATGGACTAACCAGAAGAGAAAACGAGCAAGATAGTCTCGTGTTAACAAAATGGTTGGCTGCAACTGAAGTGAAGCGTTCTCAGCAAGTTCGGTACAATCTTCACTCACGACATTATTTACCATTCCAGTTGCTGAATTCCCTGAAAAGGGAGGAACCTTGGAATGCATCGTCAGAGAAAGGGTAGCAAGGAGTTCACGGACTACAGAGTGTATTGCTTCTCTCGCTTCAAGGGATGTTGGTTTGGAAAGCTCAGCTACCTGAAATTCATGTTGGTATTTTATTAGCCAAAACAGTATCGGATTTGACTGAATTTCATTGCTAAATAATAAATTTGCTTTATAAAGTTTTTGTGGTCAAGGGAAACCTTATCTGGCTCTAGTGATCTTAAGTAGTCAAGCAAATCGTTCTTTTCTTCCCCAGCAATTTGTTGCATTTGCAGAGCAGCATTTTTCCTCTTGATTTCACAAAGTTCCTTCAATCAAGCAAAAGGAAATATGAGAATGTATCCCACCAAATTACAGATATGGAAATGTTTCTGTTGATTGATGAATCAATTTGATCGGATTGACATGTATAACAAGTTGTTATTATTTGTAGCCTCCCTGGCATCTTGCTAGTGGTTCACACCGATGCAAACTATTGTGTGTTTTCGATTATTCGAACCCACATATAAAGCATAAAGGAAACGTCTCCATCCACTCAATATTTTGAGTTAAACAATTCAATGATTCAAAGAGGAAAAAAAACGAAAAAGGACAATGAGAATCTCCTTAAAACATACCTTTTTCATGGAAGTTAGACGAGACTGCAAAAAAAGAATATATTTATGAGTTACAGGGGACACTTCACCCATGCCTTGATATTCGATATCTCTAAATTCGTCTTCAGCGGTTTTCTCAGATTCAGATGACCAATCATCTTTCCTTGAAAACCCATTTGTTTTTGTACCGTCCAACAACGTCTCCTGTAAATGAAAGTTCGATTTTTCTGAAGATTGATTTCCCAAATGTCCTTCACAACAAAGGTTCCGTTCAAGGCAAAGCCTATATTCAGCATTCCTCAATGTATAACTGCAAAATAAGAAGAATAAATATTTTTTTCATGTGATGCCCCAGCTTCGAAGCTACTCTGCATGTCTCGTAGTAAATCAAACATTGAAACCTATGTCTGAAAGTGTGTATAATCCATGTGACAGACATGGATACTATAAGGAAAATGAAGAGCCGGAGCACCTAAGATTGAAACCATCATGGAGTTAAAGCCCTTACCCAAGGTTTCAACCTGTTGGCAAACAACCGGAGTATATAAACAATTATTACAGTGGTGCATATAATGTAGAATAAGAGTATACCCTGTCAGCATAGAAGAAACCAATAACTTGGAGAGAGGATCCTGCAATGTCTCGATTAAAACTTGAAACCTATCTGATGGAAGTAAACCCAACATGTCCGAAATAGTCCTTTTCATGGCATCTACAGTTGAGGGAGGAACATCTTTTTGGATAAGGCTGTTATCCAATGGTTCTATCTCCTGTATCAGATTGATGATGACCGATTTCTGAGAGAAAACGGTAACACTCAATTTCTAGATCATTACAAGAAAATCTCTTTGAAAATGGTTATATATGCCTTAATTTGAAAAGTATAGACAAAAATTGCCTAATCTTTTTTAATTCTTGAAAACACCAGGGTATATCACAAAAGAATAACAGCTAAAATTTATTGGTTGTATAATGGGAATTCCCTGAAACACACTGCAAGGAAAATCAAGTGCGGTCTGATAGAGCATCCATGTGGAAATGCTAGTCGACTCTTAAAGAAATTGCCTCGCATTCTAGGGGTTTAATCGAGCTTAGCTCAAGCTATAAGAAACTGAAGTTTGATCTAGTTTTAGTTTTAAAGCTTGAGTTCAGTGTAAGATAAAATCATGTTACTCAAGCTCACTCAATTAATGAGCTCCATTAATACTTGAATTCAGCTCACTCGATAAGTTGATATGACCGAGCTGAATTCAAGTTTTTCTTTCAAGTCAAATCCAATTAGCTTGGGTCTACCCCGACCTATATAGTTCAAGATGAGGCTTTTATTATTTTCAGATCACATTTTCAAGAGAAAATTATTGTGATGTTACATTACATTATAGAAGCGCTATTTTCTTCCTTCATATATGTAAGAACCTTACTTTTGCCGCCATAATTTCGCACAATTTCCCGCATTTTCTCATCAACCAATCAGACGATAAGATCTTTAAGTAACTCTAAAAACAATTCCATCAAATTTAAACATAAAATTTTTCCTGTCCCGAGCTGCAATCCAAAATTCCATCGAATAAAAAATTATATCGCAATCCGCTAGAGAAATCAGCAATTAAGATCTAATTTCGAAACTTACAAAATTCTCGCCACTTGAATTTCAGAAGAAAAAATAAACTGAATTGCAAAAGCTGACCTTAGAAGGGGGAGTGGGATTTGAACCAAAAGCGTCGTTGAAAGGACGGGAGACACCGGAATTGTTGGAAGAGAAAGCGCGGAGGGAGGTTCTGGGGAACTTTTTCTGAAAACGAAGAGGGAAGGGAACGGAGGAAGGAAAGAGAGAAGGCTTTGCAAAGGAAGGTAATTGGGGAGGTAAGAAAAGAGGAGAGGAATGGGAGGAAAGCATGGTAGCCATAATTTCGCGCCACCGCTACTCTTCCGCCCTCTTCCTCTGATCCCCTCTCTCACCACCGCAAACTTCCCTCTTCTTTTTCCTTAACTTCAAGCTCTTCTCGTAATTTTGATTATATATATTAATTCGACATCTAAATTTGGTAATATAATTAGAACCGAACACATTTTCTAAATTAATCAAATTCTATATATTCTTATACAAATTTGATAATTTAATTCTACGGGTAAAGTACATAAATGATCCTTTGATTACAAGGCACTGCATTGTTGAGTCCTCCTACTATTAAAATTTATAAATTAATCCTTAAACTATTAGGTGTTGCATTGTTGAGTCTTCCGACTATTAAAAATTAAAAAATGGTCATCTGAGTATTCATTATGTTTCAAACTAGTCATTTTCCGTTAAAAATTGACGATAATATGAGTTGGACGTTAACATACTGGCTGAAATATGATAAAATATGATCTCATAATCTTAAACGACTATCGTATCTCAGTCAGCATGTTAACGTCCAACTCAGACGATCGTTAATTTTTTAACAGAAAATAACGAGTTTGTAACATAATGAATAGTCGAGTGACCATTTTGTAACTCTCAATAGTCGAGGGGCTCAACAAAGCAATACCCTATAATTAGAGGACTATTTTGCAATTTTTAATAAATAAATGACTCAACAAAACAATATCCTATAGTCGGAAGACCATTTCCTAATTTTATAGTAGTTTTAAAGATACAAATTCTTAATTTTTTTCTCTAAACTTAAATTTCGTTGATCGATCAAAATTAATCAACTAATATGTTATGATAGTATGAAATTAATTGTCTATCCAATATCGATTTCATTTCTTCATATTTCTTTGTTAACATTTTATTTTATTTTCCTTTTTTCTTTCTTATCGTCCCGCCTTCTCTAAGTCAATCCCTAAAGAGTCTTATTCATTACTTATGAATAATATCTACCTCTCTCTATACTTGTATTTGACTACATGAATGAATACATGAATTTAGGGGTCGACATTAAATTGAGTCAAGTCGAGAAAATAAATTTTGAGTTATTCTAATTGACGAGTAATATTTTGTGATTTGAATTTAATTTGATTTTTTTTAAAGTCAAGTCGAGTTTAAGAAATCAGAGTCGAATTATTCGAGTTTCTATACAAATTTTATTATAGTTATTTATAGTATTATGATAAGGATTGATTCAAATTTTTCGATTTTCTCTAAACATATAAGATATATAGTTCTTCATATTCTTTAAATAATATAATGTTATTTAATATATCAAATACAATCTAAAATTATAAAATATATTTACAATATTGTATTTTAAAGAAGATGTTTTGAGGTTAAAGTATTGGTGGGAATATAAAAGAGTCACGGAAATAATGGGAAGAAAGAATTTGCGAATAATTACAATCAAAAGATCAAATTGAGTAAAATGCAAAGTTAAGGGACTAAATAAAAAAGAGAGTATATTTTTAGTAAAAAAATATTTAAAGTTAAATAGGTATTCTATAGTGGTATAGGAGCATATGATTTAAATTTGGTTAAAAATAGACTTAAAATAAAGGATGAATTGAAAAAAAAAAGGAAATCATGAAAAGTTTAAGGACTAAATTGAAAAAATAAAAAATTATTGTCAAAAAGAGAATTGAAAGCGCAAAGGTATTATAAGTTGTTTTAGGAGCATGTAGTTCAAATTTGGTAAAAAAAATAGACTTCAAATTAATTAGGAATTAAATGAATAAGGAAATCAATGACTAATCGTAAATCTGTCAAAATAGTCAATCAATTTTTCGATTTTTCAAGTAACTTGAAAATTTCAAATTCCAACTCGACTCAAACTCGAAAAATGAATCGTTAATTCGAGTTGACTCGAATAGCTCAAAATTGAAAAACAAAATTCGATTTTTCGAGTAGAGTCAAGTTTTTCTTACCCTTATACAGGATGATTATATATTGGGGGTAAACTGTAACAATGACCACTTAATTATTGATCATTTTCACTTTTATCCTCAATCTTATAATGTTATCAATCAGATCACTTAACTATTGTTGTTAAAAATTATATAATTACACATTTAACTCTCAATATTTATATATTTTATTAATTTGATTATATTTTTAATTTTTGTTAATAAATTTACCATCCAATCATATTGTCACATATGTCAATACCTAATTAGGTGGAAAACAAATTGAAATAATAAAAACAATGAAAAGAAAATTACACAACTTACTATGTGAAAAACTATATATAACGTAACTCAAATCTAGTATTATCTCCATTGATTTCGTTACTTATGTCCCTCGCCGGGACTCGGACCGGACTTCTCAATTCCGATGGCTCGTACTCTATCGTACTCGTGTCTGACACTCGAACCGGATTTCCCGACTCCAACAGTCCGAACATTACTGTACCCTTTTCTAACACCCGAACCAGATTTCTCGACATTATCGTATCTATGTCCGACGCCCGGACTCGGCCCCGAAGACATCTTCTTGCTGCCATTAACGGACTGCAACTCCGGATCCTTCAACACCCTTGCCCCTGTTTCAGACAACAAGAGAGAAACACCAAGAAGAACAAAAATGAACAATTTTATGCCCATTTTTCCAATGTGATTAACAGCTAAAAGCTCTGAAAAGAAAACCAATGAGATTATGCAATTTCCAAACAAGGCATGATTGGAATCTATTTATAGCATAGCATTTGAAACGAAGGTGTGATTTGAGATTAATTGTGGGCTTTGTTTGACTAAAACAGAGACGGTGACAGTTCAGTAATGATAATATTGAGCTTAGGTTCAATGACAGCCAGGAAACCTGGAAAGCAAGTTCATGGGAAGATGAAATTTTTGACAAAAGGAAAACGAAAAGTAAACAAAGTTCGGTCTGTAACAACGACAGACATGGCAAGTGAAGAGTCAGAATGCAGACTCTGTTTTGCTGTGCTCAAAATTTCAAATTATTACACATAAATTACGTGCTCTCGCCTTCCACTTCATACGGCCGACAATTGGCGAACTATCACTACGGTTAGCACCATATGAATCATCTCACTGCAGTAGTTATTCCCCACGTGATGTGATTAGGGATGATGGTTTCACCTATTTAAATTTGATTTGATATTATAATAATAAAATTCGACTTCGATATTATTTAAGTTTTTTTTTTCTTCTTTGAATCAAATAAAAAAAATCATAAATATAAAATAAGTGTTTAAATTGTACTGTTTTTCACAAAAAAAAATTGAAATAGTTTCAAAACTTTGAAAACCTTCACGCCAACACCTAAACTCATGTCGATCGCTACCTTTTGTCATCGACGAAATTCTACCCAACCTCACTTACCCCGACGATCAATACTCCTATGAAATCATGACTGATCGACAATTAATCGACATTTTATATACCGCGAACCGTGAGAAGAAAATCGCGATCCCACACGATTCCTACAGTCAATCGACGACAACTATGGGAGCGTATGACTAGGAGGATGACATGGATTAAGTCAGTAGCGGTGGTCGTGACTGAAAAGGGCAACGACGATGGGTTAGGGTTAGGATTTATAATTTTTAAGAATTTTATTTTTTTTGTAATTTAAGTGAAATTAATGTTTTTTTATAAGTATAATAACATTTTTAATTTTAAAAAAATTAAAATTACCAGAATATGACACGTTAACGGAGAAAAATAACAGCAGTTACTGCCCGGTTACCTAAAGTGGTAACGTCTGTAACATTAGCACCTAGATAATTCAAAAAATATTGTAGGCAACCTATTCATGAAAAATAGTATAGTTTATACAGATATTTTATATTTAAGCCTAAAAATGAGTTAAAAATCCATCTAACTTGATTTAGCATAATTAGAAAACTAAAAATCAATTTGTACCTAAAAGAAAGGATAGGCCAATGCACCTAGTTTCAAAGCTAAGAATACCTTAAAATCGAATGAATCCAAAAAAATCTGGAGGCGAAACTTGATTTATCTAGCTAAAAAACTAAGAGGGACGTAGAAAGTAATTAAACAAAATTTTTTAAAGAGGATGTACCCCCATATTACACATAACTCCGTCTTTGCTTACAATAGAGTATTATTTATTTCGAAAGTTGCAGATTGGTCATTATTTCACAGTCAAACCTCCTACCTATCGCAATTAGAAAATGAGCACAAAAATTGGACTTATGCTCAATGATGGTCCTTAGGGTGCAACATTAAATGAAGCTTCAAAATTTCCATGCAGGATTCCTATTGGGGGCACAACTTGGTCTACCAAAATTAAGATGCCAATTTTAAAATGGGTAAATCACAAATTTGATAATTGAACTTTAATATAAAAATCGAGATGGGGTCGGAGCGGGATGGGACAGGATCGAGTATAAAGTATATATTTTTGGATCAGAGTCAAGGAGGCCAAAAAATCGGTTCAACCCGTCCCGTGTCTATCCCTATACAAAGAGCTATGAGCTTTGACATAAATTAGAATTTCTTTGACCTTACATTGCAATGAGATCGAGATCTGATGGATCTTTAGATGATATTATCATTGATTGAATATCACTATTGGCTTTGGATTACTTTCTGAAAATGACTCGGAATGGATTTTTTCCCTCTTTTTTTTCTCTTTTAGATAAAGAATGAAATTACGTGGAAGTTAAACCAATGTAGGAGTACATCATTTTCAGATGAAAATAAATCCCGATCAGCTTAATTTGAATAGCATATTACACGAATCAAATTACCTCAGTAATTAAAAGAATGATTGTTATTTTTAAAAGTCTCAGGATCGAACATCAAAAACTGCAAAATATTTGAGCATTCAATGTCTATTTGTAAGCACCATAGATTAATAAAAAAAGAATCACAAAGGGCTTTATTCGCAATTTTCGCTTTTTTACTTAATACATAGAGGAGGGATTGCAACCAATCAAATTGGGTCGAATTGTTGGTTAATTTAAATATGATCCGAGAAATATATCTCTCAAATTGCACTTGTCTTGATCTGAATATAAACAACTTCATTATACCTGGAACCCAACCCAAACTTTAGGGTAAAAATTCGACCTAACTTAAATATATTTTAGCAATTATCCTTAAATATATAAAGGTTAATTATACTATTATTCTTAGTTCAAACCCTAAACTCGACCTCACCCTTAACAAAATCCGACCCTACTTGAACTGGAATTTCAAAAAAAAAAACCTATAAGGTTGAGCCAAATCAAAATCCATCTAATTCGAATTTTAAATTTCCAAAGTGGGAACGAGATTGGTTCCATTCTGATATTGCTTAAATTTGATGTTTAGGAATTATATTTTAATTTGGTCCTATTTTCAATTATCTTTATTTATTTTATTTTTTTATCAAGCTAAAGGTGTTTACAAAAATTTTCTCAAGGTGTTATAAAGACAATGAGCGTTCAATCTGCAACTTTCGAAATTAAGTTGCAGGTACTCGAACTCGCGACTTTTAGAAACAATAATAATTCATTTAACCATTAAAATAAATTGGTTCGTGCTTTTTAAGCATTTTTAGTTTGTGCAAATAGTTAACAATGTAAATTATTCTGATTAAAATGATGATAAGGGGTGAATTTGAGGGGAAATAGTGGCCTTGGTCCTCCTAAAATAGGAAAATTGCTTTATAGCACCTTGAGAAAATCATGGAAGTTTAAATTAATTCAACAAAAAATCTAAAATTTTCAATCCTGTATTAAAGGAAAACTTACCCAAAATAAGATTTAAGATCATAAAATAAGGTGAACAAACTTTTTTTTTTGGATTAATCTAAAGGTGATTACAAAGTAGTATTTGTTATAGATAATCTCAATCATGTGACAATAAACGTTCAAACCTTTGCAGTCGCTGGTGCTCGAACTCGTGACCTTTAGGAACAACAACGATTCCTTTAATCACTTGGGTAAGTTGGTTCGTATAAGGTGATCAAACTTTGTTGAAATTTTTCCGAGCATATTTTATTAAGTAAATCATAATATTATTTATTTTAGCTCGTTTAAGGTTTAAATGTCTAAGATTGGACATCAATGGATCAACTTCAGAAATCTATCATTTTGAATGAAAAATTTATTCTATGTTTAAATTAACGAGAATCCCATTTATTATATTTGATTTAAGGTTTAAAGTTTAGAGTATTAGATATAAATCGAATAAATTAAAAAATCGAACTACTCGGATGAAAAATTATTCAATTCCTATTATGAACTATACATGATGCATACTAACTATTGATTTTAGGGGAATTTTGGTGATAAAATTCAAAAATCATTTTCATCAACTTTACCAAACAATTTATATCCAATAAAGTTGAATACCAGATGCAAAAGTAATTGAAAATTGAGGCAATGGGAAAGTAAATAACTTGTGGGATGCGTCTAAATGAGGAGAGAGTTTTGGAATCATTGAAAATTAGGTTTGGATCCAATTCATAAACAGTACGATGTAATTGATCCCAATTTGAATACTTAGGGATGCATCGAAGAGGGTGTTGGGGTCCTTAAAAAATTTTAAATTTCCTTATATTTTAAGTAGTTTCCTTCTATTTTATATGAATTATCTAATTTCGCCACCCTGATATTCTATAATTTTATATCTTTTAAATTTTTTATATAATTTTTTAAGTGTACGCCCCTTCACACAAATTCTTGTTTCGTCCCTGTGAATAATGTTTTGTATTTCAGATCCCTTTGATATGCTAACCGTCGATATCATCTCGCTTTCTTTTTTGTAGTTGTTTTTTTTTAATAATACGAAGTAATTATAAGATAATACATATTTAGATTTTTTAAATTTGTTGAAAATATATATACCCTGTATATATAATTATTCAAACTCAAGATCTCCAGGGAAACAATATGTTTTTTCTATTAAATCCACTCGATGAGTTTACTTCTTTATAGTTGTTCGATCTGCTATTTTGATCGATAATTTGTTTGAATCTCTTTTAATTTAGAATTAAGGAGACGATCACCCCTAAGAAGTTTTATTAATAATCTATTTTGTCTCTTTAACACAACTATACTATGCCGTGCACTTGCTCGCGGGCGAGGCACTAAGCCGCCAACCATGCTCGTGTTCATTTGGGTTATATGAATTCTATTTAGATTTTTTTATTATACTAATGCGATTATAAATTAATTTATGTTCAAAAGACTCCATTGAGTAAAATGTAAAGTTAAAAGATTGAATTAAAAAAGAGAGTATATTTTTAATAAAAAGAAAATAAGAGTTGAAGTTATACATGTAATTTAAAATATGTGTATATTTTAACGGCATTTGTTACCATACGAGGCGTGCGCTTTCCTTATGATCCTGTCTTCCTCCGCCGTGAAGGCGCGGTGCTCAACTTACGGCGACAGCTAATTGCACCACCGCAGACGGCACGATTTCCCCGAACGACCGGGGATCCACGTCAAAATCACCGACCAGTTTCTAGCAGCGTACTGCTGCACCAACTTCCTCAACGATTCATCCTCCTCGGGGCTCCATGAACCCCGGACCCGATCAACATCCTGGTCCATTAACAACAGTATATTAAATCCCGGTGGCGATTTTCGTCGGTTTGTTTCTGTGAATCGCCGGCGACAAAGCTTTTTAATTGTATTCGTCGATGAAGTAGAAGGAAAGGTTTATAAACGGGACTGGTAAAGGTAACTGACAGGGCGGGTAAAACGATACAGGTAATAACCGTTAATTGAACTGGTATTGACCAGTAACCGGTTGGAGTAATTTTCCTGATTTGACTATTACAGTTATGAAAATTACTGATATTGAAATGGTAGTTGAGGCGCTGGTAACTGAGTAAATCATACACCTACAGCTAAACGTTATTTTATACATATAATTTTAATTTTCCTACCAACTTTGGAATAATATAATGATAATAACCAGACTGCATCTACAAGCTGCGTTGATATTACGCAAAGCAGTTGATGAGTGGATCGTCATTTAGCTTCAAATTTCCAACCAAACCACATCTTTTGAAGTAATATCGATCATCGAAGACAAATCCAACACATCTACATGGAGACAAAGACGAACATTCTCGTTGCAGAACAAGGTCAACTCAACCCAACACCCAAACACATTTTCATCCTCTCAGGCCAAAGCAATATGGCGGGCCGAGGCGGCGTCTCCAAGCACCACCACCACAGCCAAAGCCACTGGGATGGCATCGTCCCACCGGAATGTCAGCCGCACCTTTGCATCCTCCGCCTCAGCGCCACCCTCAACTGGGAGGCCGCACGGGAGCCGCTCCACCACGACATCGATACTCACAAGGTCTGCGGAGTGGGGCCCGGGATGTCGTTCGCCAACGCGGTGAGGGATCATCTGGGCGGCGAGTGCCTGGGTCTGGTTCCTTGCGCCGTGGGCGGCACAGCCATCAGGGAGTGGGATCGTGGGCACCAATTGTATGAGAATATGCTTAAGAGAAGTAAAGAGAGTTTGAAGAGTGGAGGGGAAATCAAGGCTTTGCTTTGGTACCAAGGGGAGAGCGATACGTCGTCGCTTCATGATGCTGAAGCCTACAAGGGAAACATGGAGAGGTTGATTCATAACTTACGTCGAGATCTTGGGTTGCCTTCGCTTCCAATCATTCAGGTCTGATTCATTTTTTTTGTTTTAAATTTCATATATTCGTCACATATAATGGGAATTATTTATAACGTGGAGTATTGGGGATCTATGCAGCGGCAAAATTTGATGATAAGAGTCTGGAGGGATCAAATTATAATTTTAAAAAATCTATGTTTAAATTAAGTTTTTTTTTTTAATTATGGGAGAGAGTTTAATTAAAAGTTAAATAATTTAAACTTTGATTTGAATTTCTAAAAATTGAGAGCCAAATTGAATTTTTGAAGAAAAAAATTGACCCCTAGAATTAAAATTTTTAAATTTTGAGGGGGTCATGGCGCCCCCTAATTTAACTTGTGTTCCGCCCATCTATGAGCACGTTAAGGTGGGCACGTGCCCATCTAAAATTCAAATTTCTTTATATTAGTTTTTCATTTTACTAATAATGTTCACCTTGAAATTTTATTTTTGTTTGTTTTGTATAAATAATTTCTATTATTAATAGATATCGACCCCACCCTAAAAAATATTTATGATTCACCGCTGAGGTGGAGAACAATTTGCAGGTTGCAATTGCATCAGGCGATGAGAGATACAGGGAGAAAGTAAGAGCAGCACAGCTGGGGATGAATCTGCCGAATGTGACGTGTGTGGATGCCAAAGGGTTGCCTTTGAAACAGGACAATCTTCACTTGACAACCGAGGCTCAGGTTATGTTGGGGCACATGTTGGCCGATGCATTTATTCAATAACTCGAAAAACTTGGTTATCTTTGAATGCAAGTAAATCTCGAGGCTTCATTGCGTGGGCGTCGGATTTGTTTATTTCATTTCATGTGTAGCTTCACTTGATCATGTTTGCCACATCCTTTCCCTTCTCATTTGATGTTGAGTTTCGATCTCCAGTCCGGGTAAATCTGAATAAATCCCTTGCTCTCGCTATACGGTTGTCGTCATTTTTCTTGTCCATTTACCTTCAAGGGAGTTTTACCATGTTTGCCATGCTCCTACCCTTTGAAATCCAAAATACTGTCATCTCTAAAAGCATTATGACTTTTCTTCAATGTTACACGTTAATAATAATTTTTTGTGCTTTTAAACATTAATTGATAAATAAAAATAATTAACGAAAAATATAGTCTTTATTATAAAATAAAGGCTCAAACTATACTTTTTTTATGAATAGGTGTCTACAATATTTTTTTCATGAAAAATATAGTCTTAATTATAAAATAAGTTTGCCTGACACTGATGTTCGCTTGGTTTATAATATGTAAGATTACTTTTGGAAATGAGATTATCGGAATATTGTATTACTTGACTTGACACATTGTTAGCAATGTTGTATTATCTTTTTTGATTTGTTAGACAAAAATATAAGATTACAATTTTTTATTTGAGAGAATATAAGATTGTTAGAATGTATATTCTTTAGGGTGCGTTTGGTTCACGGAATGTAAGATTACCAGTGGGAATAAAAGATTACCAGGGAATAGGATTACTGTGAATGTTGTATTTTGTGTTTGGTTGGTTTAGCAGGAATGTAAGATTACTGTGTTTGGTTAAAGGAATAAAAGATTATTTGAATGTATATTTGACCAAATTGTCCTTATTATATATTTGTATAATATTACAAGTTGTAAAATATTTATATATTTTCTTCAAAAAATTAAATTCGTAATATTTATATAATTTTTTTACAAAATTAAAAATATAAAAAAAAGGTTTAATGAAAGGGTAAAATTTTATTTTAACCCCTGAACTTCATAAAAAATTTAATTATAGACTTTTTTTTTGTAAATCTAAAATAATTTAAGGATAAATTTGTAATTTAACTTTCGTAGAATTTTTATTATTCAATGACAGAATAATGATATTTTGAAAAAAAATAAAAATTTAAGGGCATTTTAGTCCAAAACGCCGGTAATGTTACAATACCTAAGGGAAGGGAGGTAATGACATTCCCGGTAATATACCCCAAAAAATCCACTATTGGTAATAAAACATTACCGGGAATGACATTACCGGCCAAACCAAACGGGGGAATGTGGATTCCATTCCCGGGGGAATCCCACATTCCCCCATCCAAACGCCCCCTTAGAGTTATCCTTGTGATATATTCTCTTTAACAAGTTGAATTTTTAATATTAAAAAAAAAGCGTATAAAAATATAGAAAATATATTACTTCATTATTTTTATTTTATATATTTTCATTTATAAAATCTAAATTCATAAAATTTATATATTTTCTTCTATAACATTTTTAAAAATAAATGAGTAGAGTAAATGGTAAATATATCATATATTCTTTTAATCTTAATTAACATTAAAGTTCACATTATTTATCTAAAAATTATATTAAAATTTACATCATTCTAATGTAAATTATTAAGCCATAAATATTAATTTACATCATTCTAATGTAAATTATTAAGCCATAAATATTAAGTATAATGCATTCAAAAACTTTAACATTTAAAGAAACAAAAAACATTAATAAACCATAAATCTTATACCCAATCAGATGAATTAATTATTTTTTTTATAGAAGTCGCCAATTTTATTAAAAATATAAAATATCTAAATTACAATGAAGGTTTACAGTCACAACTGTAAACTAAACATATAATAAGAATATTTTCTTTTAACACAAGAAAACTAGCAACTTAAGATCACACGATGACCATACAAGAAAATTGTTAAAAAACCCTAACCAAATAAATTCGAACAAGAGATAAATAAGAATAGATCTGATTGCATCGGCAAACAAACTATAAAAGGGAATAAAGCTATCGAAAGACCATCAACATACCGCAAAAGAGAACCGAGCGATGTGAAAATATTATCCACGAATGCAAATCACATATTCAAATTCAATCTGAGAGTCCAAAGCAGGGAATATCATCATGATAACAAATAAGTTCAATATTGATTAGTCGTTGCAATGTCAAATCGAACTCTAAAAACTAAACGAAAACAACGGTCAAACAACCGAAAACATGTCATAAAGACAAGAAAAATACGTGCTAGAAAGACAAAATTATTAAGAAGAAAAATAAAAAAAACAAAGATGTGTTATAATAAAATAAATGAAAAATAAAGAATATCAATGGTCGACAACCAATATCAAGACTGATGTCGTCACCAATAAAAAAAAAGATTAACGACAACTATGAAAAAAGAAAATAAAAAAAAAACAAACCCTAGTTGATTAATTATTTGTTAAAAGACAATAAAATTAAAAGAAAAGATTTATCACAAAGTTTAAAGGAATATAAAAATGATAATCTTATCAACAACTAGTTGGTCTAGTGATAAAAAATATTAGATTCTTTAAATAAACTTAGGGGTTCGAACCTTAGTGTTTATGAATAGAACAAATTGGGTTAGAAAGATTATCATCGTCTCTGTAATACTCAATCTAAATTAGTGGGTCAATAAATTCAGATATCATCAATTAATTAAAAAATTTGATAATTTTGAAATAGTAAAAAAAATCATTCTCATGTTAAGATTTTCACATAAATTTTAATATTTTAATTTTATATATCTTTCTTATTTGATAATTATATATTTTTTGATCCAAACGCCCCCGCAGGAATCAAAGTCACCGTTCACCAGCAAAACTGACACCCACTCATTATTACTTTTATTTAATAATATTTACATATTATATTATTAATATTACAAATTTATTTTAAAAAAATACCCACAAATTTTGACTCTAAGATCCTAGTTTCCACCATATGCTTGCTTGCAAATTGCGTAAGATTTTTGCTGCGGGGTGCACAGCTGAGAGTACCCTGGACATACCCGTGGACGTTCCCCTCAATCTCGTTGAACCCTAGATTAACGGCGACGAGGTCGCTGTTACCGCCGGCGGGTTTGGAGATCTCGACACTTATGAAGCTGTTATTGGCTAGATCAACTTGCTGCAACGACGGTAAGAACCATGCTCCGAGTGTACCCGAGAAGGAGTTGGCGCTGAGTTCAACGACTTCCAACTGAGTTAACCCGTCGAAAGTGGACTTCGAGACGTAGCCAGATAAAGAATTCCCCCTTAAAGCAAACTCCAATAAGTTAGAAGGCAGTTTGGGGAGAAACCCAGTGAGTTTATTGTAGCTCAGGTTGAGTCTCCTCAAACTCGAAAGCGAGTTAAGCTCTTTCGGCAAATTCCCAGACAGTGAATTATGAGAGAGGTCCAACGATTGAACCGGAGATTGAACCGGAGAACGAGTTGGATTTCAGAGTCAGAGTTTGGAGATTACGAAGAGAAGAAATGGAAGAAGGTATTGGCCCAAAGAAGTAGTTATCAGAAAGATCAAGAGTGGTGAGTTGGGTAAGTCGAGAAATGAGTGGGGTGAGCTGACCGGAGTAACCGACGGGATCAAGGGTGATTTGGGTGACACGAGTGGCGTCAGGCGAGCAAGAAACGCCGCAGATGAAGTGGGTGCGGCGGGGGGCGGCGCAAGGTCGGCGGCGAAGTCCCATGAAGCAAGACAAGACCATGAAGGGATTGAACTTGGTTTGATTGAGGATCGAAAGGCTTTGAGGGCTGAAATATCACTTGCTGAAGTCAAGCCTTGAGCTTGAAGAAGATGAAGATGAAGAAGAAGAAGAAAATGGAAGGTTTTGAGTATTATGAAAGGGATTTGATTTACTTTTGGATTTATTCTCAACAAAATTTGGGTGGGTTTCTTTTGAAAGCTTGTGGATGACATCAATGGAGGATGATGCAAACTTAAAGGAGTTTCAAAGGAGGGTCGTAGGAGCTTAGTGCTTTGACAATTATGTATATAGTTGGACACCACTATAATTTTATCACTTTAAATCTAAAATCACTCAATAATTTTTTTTTATAAGATAACATTTTTTACGTACATTTCTGAGATAAACAGTAAAATAATAAAAAATTATTTTCACTCATGTGTAAATAAATTTTAGCCTATATATATAAAAATCTGATTTGAATGGAAGGTAATATTTATTTAAAGATATTCAATTTTTTGAAAATGATCGTTTATATCCTTACATAATAACATCAGATCTCTTAATCATTAAAATTATTTAGTTTGTAGATTAACATATCTAATGACAATCAATACTTGGGTTACAACAACCTAACAATCGAACATTAATTAATGACAAAACGAAGCTGTCATGTTTTAAAGTTGAAATCCCTTATGTTTAATCAGTAGATCACTTGTAATTGTTGTTGTTGATATGTGTTGTAATAATCTAAACAGATAGGTCCACACGGAATCTCTTGGTAATAGTTGCTCCATGCCCAACCTCCACAATCAAGTGCCTCCAATTTTTGTTCTAACTCCTGTTATTGGTATAGTAAGATGAGGTACTAAATCACTTAAGTAATGTTTGGAGTTCGAATCCTGACATTTGTGAATAGAGTAAACTGGATTAAGAGGGTCATCCTCGCCTCTGTATTATTCGATCTAGATTAGTCGATCAATAGATCAAATATCAATAATTAATTTAAAAAATCTGATAATTTCAGTTACGACGTAATAAAAATATATCAAATATTAAGTCAATTTTGTTTAAATTAAATGATTTTGCTTAATATGTTCGTTACTTATAATCCAAATACCTATATCATAATTGAATAATAAATAGATTTAAATATTTTTATTTAAATTGTTGATTGTGCATTTATAATATATTTATCGAGAAAAAATGTGATTGTAGTTCAATTGGCGGTATTAGATATCAATTGTGGTATTGAAAGCAATAGTTTTTTTTTTTTAATTTTCCGTCAATAATTATTACAATCATATATAGTTTTTGAAAATTGACTTTTAAAAATATTGTAAAATAAAATTTTAAAAATATTGTACAAACGTGTAGTTTAAGATTTAATTGTTTAAAATTGATGTTAAAAAATGAATTTGAAAAAAATAAAATGTTCATTATAGACATTATGTTGTAAATTAAAAATATAAAAAACATAATTATAATAAAAATATATATTTTATAATAACTCATTATTAA